AAGCCCTACTAAACCCTAAACCCTAATCAGCAATGCAGCAGGATGCTGGATGCTAGCTGCATTGGCATCCCGCGAGAGCTGCTGACTGGACTCCTCTCTGAGGCAAAGCTACCATCCGGAGGGCGTCCTAGGGTTTTGGGGTTCACGGTTTGGGGTTTTGAGTTTAGGGCTTGGGGTTAAAGAGATTAAGGTGTTTTGGGTTCAGGCCTTTGCAATGTGCTTGCAAGCCTGGGAACACAAGACATTCCAGCTGAAACCTTAACCGTAAACCCTACATCTCCTGAGACATTTCAGGCGACCCTGAACCCCAAACCCTCCACCCCAAGCCCAGAACTCCAAGCCCTGAAGCAGATTTTGGGGTTTCCGACCGTTCTCAAAGCTAGGGTCCCTTTCAGGATCCTTTCCTTAAGGGTGCCGTACTAATTTAGAGAACTACCCCTGTAAAGCCTGCGGCAGGCGGTGAATCGCCCGCGGCCACAGGAGGTCCCTGCCTCACTGGGGCGTAATGTAGGGACATAAGTAATTACCAACACTATTATTGGGGCTACTACATACCCCCCCCCCCCCNNAAAACCCTCTTCTAATTTTCAAGGCCCCTATAGTACAGTACGAAGCTCATTGCTACGTTTACGGGTTCAGGGCTGTAGGATTCAGTCCATGCTGTAGGAGCATATAGTAGGATCATGTGGCTCGTGGTTTAGGACGTGTCATGTAATCTGGAGCCTTTCAGGTGAGTCGGTTTGTTTCACGTTTACTTGCTTGTGTTGGTTTCAAAGGATCCTCACCATCAAGTTTGGCGAAGGCGCATATTATGCTCCTCGATTGGAAATCCCGAACCTTACAAACGCCAAAACCTCTGAGCGTTGTGGAGTCCCGACGGTCAAAATACCAACATAGTCAAGGAAGCCACTAGTCTCCCTAAACCCGAAACCTTAACGCCGTGATCCGGGTCAAGGTTCCTACTTCAGACCCTTTTGGGAGGAATAGGCTTTAGAGGTCTTCATCTGGGATGTGCCGCCTTGGGTTTTCAGTAGACAAGACCCTTCGATGTAGTTCCTCTGCACTGGTGCGGTTGCATAAGGTAAACATATCTAAAGGGAACTACAACTGATGGCCTAAGTACATGGGAGCCCAACATCCAAACGCATAGCAGCGACAATAATAACAAAGGTTATCAGCAATTTAACACTGCAGCGCGGTCTTTGCAAAGGGCAGGCTGAAGATCACGCTCATCTCTGAACCCAAACCTTCATGCTTCTGAGCCCTGCAGTCTTTAGACGAAAGCACTCAACTCCCAAACCGCAAAAGTCGAAGCTTGGATATTGAATAAATCTGCAACCCTTAACCCTCTACAGTCTAAACCCTTACTTCGTTAAAAATCCTGCGGGCCGGTTTCCTTGGGCCTGCTGCCACGCCAAACCTGTAAGGTTCAGGCTTTAGGACTTGTGGAGTTCCTATGGTCTCCATTGTAGTTCCTGTTTTCTGGTTTAGCCAGTTCTGAAGTTAGGTCCCCCAAAGGTAACCCAGAAAAGGGATTACAATGGAGACTATGGGTAGGGCTCAGGGTTCGGGAGGCAACAGTCGTGCTGGCTAGGATAGTACAGTGGTAGCTGTAGAGGCTGGGGAAATCCGAAAGCCGTTAGGGTACCAGCGGCTGTTGTCCTGGTAAGGTTTGGGAGTTGGGTTTAGGAAGGGTTAGAGTTTAGGGTTTGTAGGATCCGCAGAAAAGGCCTGTGTTGGCTTCATTCTGGGGATTTTGGAATCTGGATTCTAGACTGTGCTCAACCTTTCCAACAGGTCGCCAAGGAGATGATTCCTGTGACGCCAAGGCCCGCGATGTCACAGACATAATTAAAGAACTCCGGGTTCAGGGTTGACAGTTGAGGCATGCATGCCTGCATGCCTCGCCTCGAAGTGTGCCATACCTGTTCTCGGGAACCCTAAGGCCGTACCCTAAACCCTGGAAGAGACCGAGCCGACATGACCAAACGGGTATTCCAAATATGTACCTGCAACTGGGCTGTTCGGGGAAGCGCGTGAGCCCCGCCACCTTAAACCCAGACGCCTTGAACTGTAACGCCCCAAATCCCCAATCTTTAAAACCCCCAGCCCGAAAAAGTCTCTGAGCTCGGAACCCTATCGGGGAAGCCTTGAATTAAGCACGATGCTTTTAGCGTGCCAGGGACGCAGGATCGGAGACCAAGGCCAGGCTTTGTGAGTTGGGTTTTGGAGGACTACAGGGTAGGGTTCCGGGTTCAGGGTTTCTGGGTTTAAGACTTCAGGTCAACGTGCAGGATGCATTGCTTTTATGCCCGCCTCAGTTTTGGGTCTCTAGCGACAGGCTCAACCCGAAGCCCCAAAGCCTTTGGGTATCTCGCTATTTTCGTGTTTAGGTTTGAGATTTCTCTCAGACCTTGGAATTTCAGACTGTTTGGGAAGGAGGGGTTGATGGCTTGATGGTGTCGCGGGCCCTCGCTGTGGAATAATCTTTCTCCAAATCGTCGGGTGGAAGTATGCAGATAGTAGGCCCCTTGCCTTAGCTAGCTGGACCTAGGTTTTTTGGGTATACTTCCAGGTACCTTGTGTAAATCGACACCCGTCTTCTAGAAAGGCTTGAATAAGCAACAATGCCAAAAAACAACAGGTCACGAGCTTTTTCTAGTTGAGGGTTCATTGGTTAGGGTTGGACAGAGGCATTTCACCCTCTGCCTTGACATTGTATACCTTTGGCTTTTCCTAAATTAATGAGGGTCCCCGTACTTGCATCCGCAAAACAAGGTGTTTTCAGGAGAGGATCCAAACTCATCCGCTGGAAAAGCGTCGCATGTTGGAAGGTGCAGACACCCGCAAAGACTGCGGCAGTGGTGTGGAGATCTCAGTGGCTTCGGGTTTGAGGCTTGGGGCTTGGATCTAGAATCCCTCACCGAACCTGCCATCTGTCTTTTTTCTTGCCGACTCCCCATTCTATCTTTTTTCGTGTTACACAGTCAGAGCCTTAAAGTGAAAAGAGCCCTATATACACTTAAACCTTAAACACGCATTATCCCTCTGAAACGAGGCCTCAGCGTCCTTCGTAAACCTCCCGCTGCCCACCTGCTCAGGTCGAAGCGACGTCGCAGTCGTAGCATTGCGCGGGCGCACGTTGTTAGCAAAGAGCTCAGTACGTACAGTCCCAAATCGGTGGTTTAGGGGTGAAATTGGTCTTGGGTATGTTTTGGGGGCCAAAGTATCCATAGAATTCACTGGCTACAGTGGTTATTGTAACTGTTGGGTGTGTTAAGCTGTGGTGTCTTGTCCACGATGCCGCACGACCCGACAGCAACGATAGTAAGAGTAGCAGCAACGAAATTTGTTTCCACCCTGACCCTTGAACCAAAGCCCTTGGCCTAGAGCCGCTCAAGTTGTAGAATTTGTAAACCTCGATCAAAGTCAACTCGCAGTTTCTATCGGCGGAAATCCGAACCAGTTTGAGTTTTACTTGGCTAGGGTCCACGCACGACCCCCAACCCTACACCAAAGACTCTAATTGAAATAGTAATTCACATGAAAGGTTTTCCACAAGCTGAAGGTTGCCTTTACTTGCCAGGGCATCCTCCTTTAAGGTTGTGGCTGCATAGGGGTTTAGGGTTAGGGGTTGGGGGTGTTGAGGTGGCGTTTCGGGTACTTAGGGATATAGGTACATGCCGTCCAATGTCCATGATCATACCTGTTTCGGGGGTAGTGTGCAGCATAAGCTGCAACCCTTGTATGAGGTATCACATGGTCACGGTCTGCGGTTTACGCGAGATCGCAGTGAACCGAATAGTGGAACTGCATCAGGTAGAGCTGAGTACGTTCTTCATGCGACCCGGCTTCATGAAAACCATTCAAGAATTCATGTAGGGATACCGTGCCTATCAGGTTGCGCTGCAGGCTTCAGGACTGTAATGGATGCAGGAATCACGCTGCAGGATGTCAGCATAGTGTAGGCCAGAGCACCGTCGCACGCAAGGTCGTAAATCCCAAGCCCTAAAGAACGCTAAAGCCTCAACCCCAAGCAAGGTCACACGACCACCAAAGTTACCACCAAAGCTGATGAAAGCATCAGCGATTCGGAGGACGATGAGGCGGGTTTAGTGTTCAGGGTTTCTTTAGGGAGTGTAGGCCTTTCTGGGAATGGTGGGGTGTGTTTGACTCGTACGAGCATTAAGTAGCTTAGTACCGCCTTCAGTGTAGCCTGCCACTCGCAACCCCCAACCTCAAGCCTTAAACTTAAACCCTTAACCTAAACTCTCTTGCAAATATGTCCAGCCAGCTCAAAGTTCAGCTGACATCTTCATTATAGATCAAGCTCCGATTTCAAACCTGACGGGCTTTGGGCTTGGGTTTTTTCGGGCTGCAAGTTTTCGCACCGGCAGAGGTGTCGTGATGCCAAGTCCCGATGCCTTCGATAAGCATTTCCGAGCCCCAGAAGTCGTCGTCCTGTTTTTTTTGTGGGATAAACTTGGGGCCAAAATGGTTTTGTGGATACTCCTGGGACTTGAGCCTCATTTACGCTTGGGGGAATCAGCCTTCAGAAGTCATGGCAGAAGCTACAAGCCCCATACCTAAAACCCCTATAAGCCCCAAACCCCTAAACCCTCGAACCTGGAGTTTGGGTTGTCTCATGGTTCGAAGACCTCAAGTAGGAAATAAGGCAACCGCGCACGAGCTTGCAAACTGTTCGAAATCCCAAAACCCAAGACTAGTTTTCAACCTAACACCCCGCAGCCATGATAATCCCTGGACCTTCAACTCCAAACCCAAAGCCCTAGACTCCTGAAAGTGTTAACCGCAGGTGGTCGTAGTTGCGGTGGTTCCACCGACAGCCGCTCCGGTGAGGTGGCTCACGATGAAGTTTAATGTAGGGGCCAGGAAGATTAGTACTAGTTTCACCCTCTCGTCCTCATAAAGTTAGGCTAGTGCAGGGCCCGGCAGGGCACGGCAGGGTAGTTCGGGCAAAAGTCTGAACCGACTTAGAGTCGTGGTTGTTCCGATTCAATTCTGCAGTGATGACAGGCCCGCCAGATCACAGTAGGATTTAAGGGTTCAAGGTCTTGGGGCTTAGTCACGAGAATTCTGGGATTCCGCTTGCATCAGAGGAATTTCCTCTCAAGATGTTGGGGTTGGAGCCTTGTGCCGAACCAGTTCGGGAACCCTGCCTGCCCTCCTAAACAGGGTTTATGGTTCAGGTTTTAGGATGTTTTACGGGTGCCGGGGTAGTGTTGCGGGGGAATTCCGAAACAGGCACCCTGAATTCAACAACACTTTTCGATACGTTAAGCCCCAAACCCCGAGTCCTAAGCCTTAAATCCTAAGCTCACAATCCTGAACTAAGCCAACATCTCTTGCACAGACCCACTATAACATGTCTCAGGAACCGATCATAGCGCAGCTCTCTTTGCTGTTTCGAGGTTTTGAATAGGGCTTTGGTGCGTATTCTAGTTTAGTTTTGTTTTGTAAGGACTATGCGTGACAAATTGTGGCTACTTATTAGTTCTTCAGTTTTCTGCATTACTATGTAAGGGTTTCGGGCTATTTTGAGCCTCATGCAGACCTATATTTTTCGTAGTCGTGAGGGTCCCTAAGCCAAGGCGAAAGATCGCTAGACCAGCTCAATCAAGCTCTGAAAGCACAGCTTTTGTTCATGAACCTGTATAAACACTGTCTTTTTGTTAACTTAACCTATGCACTCTGAACTTTCCCTTTGAGGCCCGAATTGACCTGACACTGCCTGACACCCTGAAGCCCTAAAGCCCATCGTTGTCAGGGCTGCCAGCCCGGCGGCGGTCCCTGTTCAGGCCGGGAGAATAAACGAGGGCAGGAATGAAATCCAACTGTGGAACAAACCGTACAGACATGCAGGGTAGGGGGAGTGAGGCTTTCCTGTAGCCTTTTGTCTGGGGGTAGTTTGAGAGCTCAGGGATGTAGGGTTGGAGATGTCCGTCGCCATTTGGAGATTTAGAACGGATCGTCTGGCTTCCCAAGTTTCCGACACATGTCCTGCTTCGGCTTCCTAACGCAAACGTCAAGCGCGGCTGCGGCGGAGGACATCTTGTCTGAAGGGTCGGCAGCTGAGTACATTTCCGACCTCCCGTTTGAACCTGAAGCTGAAGGTCAAGCATCAGAGGTGAAGAAGCTGTTCAACGAGGCAGAGAATCTCCAGGACAAGCTCGTTGCAGTGGTTGCGACTATCTTTGCAGGCTTCTCGGGAAGTGAAGCCGTGGACGGTCCCTGGTGAGCGGGTCAGCACCCACAGTACGCTGTAGGCTTGCACGATGCTGCCCAGCTTCTGGATCTTCTTTGTGGCGGGCAGGCTGCAGAGCCGGCCGAGCTTGGCTGGACGGACTTATCGATGACATCAGCAGCGTAGCAGCAGACAGCGTAACCTTGAATTGGGAATGCTGTGAGGCCGGTGGTCCGCATGGCTTCCGCGGAGGGCGATGCCGAGGACAAGTTGGACCACGACGCAACTGGTCGGCCATGCCTTGCAAAGAGGCTTCACGGTGATGGTCTTGGAGAAGCTAAACCTTTGCTGTCTGAGTGGTCGGAGGAGTTGTTGGGTGCAGACCCTTTCGTGAAGCTTCCGTGTTCGTGCAACCACCAATGCCAGCTTAACTTCTTCCCGGCTCACTTGGACGAGTGACGAAGTTCCGCAGCAGCTTCAAGTCAATTCAAGTCGCCGGGGAGCTCTGTGCAACAGATGGACAGGCCGTCGTACCTGCTTTGGATATCACATCGTCTACACCATTCCTCCAACAAGGCCGCAAACAGATGCATCTCAGTTGCACGTGCTCATCGTCGTTGGCAGCTGGTCCGGCGGCGGGGGGGTTCCAGAAGCCAGGAAATGCGAAATCGAGCACAATGGTTCCAACAAGCGTGGAGTAGCAGGTCATGTGGCAATCACATGTCCAGCCTGTCACCATCATTGGGCATTGGATTACGAACCCGCATCAACACCCCCGTGGAGTCACTCATGCAGGTAGCGGCGCACATTTTCGGCGAACAAGAAGTTTACCAGCACAGGCCGGAATTGAGCCAACTGCTGACCGAAACTGAACGTCAAGTATGCCTTCAGAAACTTAGCAAGCATATGATACAAAAGTCAGTGCCATCAAGAAAGAAGGCACGAACGCAGTATTGATTGGAAGATTGCTTGTGTGTTTTATGCAGTGTTGACCCACGTCGTACAGTCGTGGCCGTGTTTGCATGCAAACTGAACTAGGACCCATTTGCATTCTATGTTGCATCCCTTGTACAGAGGGGTGAAGCAATCTTGACTGAAACAGAGCACGAGGTCCATACTCTGCCGATCTGTACGGACACACACACACACATGTTCATATATTAATATAGATACACATATGCGTATATATGCATGTACTACATACTGGCATTATGCTACACGCTATATACATACATGCATACATACTTACAAACAGTCAGACATACACAGATGCATGTTTATATACACCTGCGACGTGCAGCCTTGCACTGAGTGCGGGCTTCAGATTGGCACGCACATGTCAGCAAGTTTTGCTTGGGGTTCCGCCGAGTTGTTGGTTATCGGGCTTCGCTTCCTAAACATTCCCGAACCCTAAACCTGATATAGAAGTCGGCATCATTGAAGTAACATCCCGTTGCAGCTGTTACAACTTTAGAGCCCTATTCTAGTTTTCAAGTCTCCTGTAGTAATTCCTCGAGCTTCGAGTTGGCTAGATTCACTTGTAAGGACTTGGGTTTGGTGTGGGGCCTCCGCATCCCGTCACCCCCCGAAACTCGAAACTCTAACCCCCCCCCCCTCCCCCCCCAAAAAAAAAATACCCGAAACCCCGAACCTGCCGGAATCCCGAGGCCCTGAAGCCGGATGCTTGAAGCCTTGACAACTCACTCCCTCGGCAATGTAACCCGCAGAAGCCCTTGTACCCTACACACTCTATATATCGTAAATGTTGTGAATTCCCAAATCCAAAAAGACAACGGCAAAACTAAAACTTGTAAAAGCACATGATACCTATACTGGTACTTTGCTAATCCTAAAGTGAACACTAAAATATGAAGCCGGCAAAGGACAGCCCCAAAGGCCCACAATTAGAACAAAAACACCTCCTATGAAAATGGCTCCGAGCTTTTTGCTGTAGTTGCAGTCTTCTGACAGCAACGTGAACCGTTAACCGCTGCAAGATTAGTAGCAGCAGTGGCACTATGTTTCGAAACTGCAAGCACACAGCAACACAGCGAATATCACTGCAAGAAGAAGACCGGTGACTTCCTTGTTTTTTCTGCGACTCACCATCATACTCATACCATGTATGATTATGAGTGTTATCAATATGAGTACAATTATTGATACTGTTGTTCACATGAGGTCACACATATATATATATATATGAATGAACGAAATGAATGAATGATTGAATGATTGAATGAATGAATGACTCATGACCTTCATGGCAAGGAGGACCAGACTGAGGAGAAGGGCATGGCCAAGCCTCAACCAGAGATTCTTGACGGACAGGTGAGTACATGATTGGCAAGGTCGTTCCCCAATCGTCCTTAATCAATATGGTTGTAGTAGAACATACCCCGAAATCTTATAGCCCCTATGAGGACGCGAAAGGAACAGTATCATGACTGGAACCTGATAGGATAAGTCCGTATATCCCCCGAACTTGTCATTCCAATTGTCAATGTCCTGTACAGTCAACATCATCGTCACTATCTTGATGATCGCCACACCACCTCCGCCATCTCCATCACCTCCACCACCACCAGCACAACCACAAGAGCAACCATCACTACAGCAACAGCCATAAGCAACTACAGCCACATGTCACCACTGACATCGTCATGACTGACAATGAGTAGTGCTCAGTATATGCCAACCGTGACCAGGGTTCATGTACGCCAACATGGAGGAGTGGCAACGCTTGTGACAAGCTTTGCCTAGTTGGCATCCCCCAGGATCTTGGCACCACCTTCCCTCAATCCAGCCAACCCTACGCTCCAAATACGATATCATAGACCCGCTGAGCGTTTCTGCTGGATTCAGGCAAAGTCGTCCAGCCCGAGTTCTGTTTAAAAAGCACGAATATCTCGATGGAAATGTAGGTGCTGAGTGGCGCTTGTTCCTTCAAGTCTGTGGTCCCAGGTCTTTTCTAAAATAGGGTCCCTTTTAAGAGTACTTTTTATAAGGGTGCCGTGTGGTATTGGGGACCCAGAAAGGGACCCTAGTTTGGAGAACTACCTATATGTAGCGAGTTGGTGTTGAAGGTTTCATGGATCGAGGCTGTTTTGCAGGCTGCGCGGCTAGGGCCTTGAAGGTGATGTCATGTGGATCATTGCTCGAACACGCCGAGCCCTAGACTGAACAAGCCTGTTGCCCACTTCTGCTGCCAAAGCACATCCCCGCAAGCCATAATCTGGAAACTAAACCATAGTATTGTACATTAGAATACAGCATTATCGTATAGTGTAGTTGGTTTTCAGGCTATAGTACTTTTTTATCGTATTGTAATATGGTAGAGCATAGTCTCATCGATGCCGAGGGCGGAGACTGCAGCGATCGACCCACAGCCACAGCTCGAGAGCTCGCCAGCGCTTCTTTGTCAGACTCAGCTAGTGGCCGAAACCCTAAACCCCTAAACCCCTGAAGTGTGAGTTTAGGGTCCGAGGCTTTAATGTCTCGGAGGTAGGGTTTAGGGCAGTGCAGGGTGACGACTGGGATTCAAGCTTAAGCTTTTGGGCTCCTCCAGGGTTCAGGGTTTAGTGTTACAGGGTTTAGGGTCTAAGGTCTTGAGTTGAGGGTTTGCCTTCCTGAAGAAGTTGGGGATGACCGACCCCTGCCAATCGGCAAAACGTTTGCGAGTTGTCTGTCTGGCCGTTCCATTACTCTTGTCGGTGTCAATATGGTTTGGGGTTTAGGGTTCGGGAACTAGAGTCTACGGCTTAGGGTAATTACTTAGGGTATTTACTAATTGCAATATAGGTTGTTAGCACAGTTAAGTATCAACGCTGTCGTCCTATTGTCTGTTCATCGTCCGAAGAAGAATTATCACGGTAGGCATCATCAAAACGAGAGCAGGAAGCAGAAGAGCTTTTAAAGCCTCAGCCCCAGACCCTGACACTGAACCCGAAACCTTCAACCCCAAACCCTATAGGCCTGCAACCCCGACCCTGGCCCGAAATCCGACATCCCAAGCCCGAATTCCATCCGGCAGACCGAAGCTTCGGCTCAGGGAGCTTCACACAGGGGCCATAGCAGTTGAAGTAGGGTTCGGGGTATGTTATGTAAATGCGATTGACAGGACAAGAACGGGCAAGGGTATTGCTAAATATTCAGACCCCTGTCTTCACCCGGGACCCAATATAGCCCAATAATCATCGGATGCCGGATAGCCAAAATAGGGATGTCCGACACCGTGAGATGCGAGTGTGGCTGGCTGACACCAGGGCCCAGAGAACAAGCCGTCCAAATCCTCAACAATGCTCTGATGCCTGCGAAGCCCAAACTAAACACGGCAACGGGGCTTAGGGTTGAGGCTCAGGGGTTGATTAATCTAGGGGCTCAAGTAATTAGCAACACGATATTTTGGGGTTGGGGTGTCCTTATCGTATGATATTCCGCAAAACCCTATTCTAATTATCAACGGCCCGATAGTATACCGCACATACTTATACTAGAAGTCTTAAGAGCTCCATCTAAAGGAGCGCAAAGGAGCCCCATTCTAATTATGCAAAGGGTGTATAAGTTTAGCCCTGAACTCAGGTCGACGGCCAAGGAGCCGCAGCCCCCGAAAAA